CAATTTGAGGACCATATTGCCCCCCTGCATTTTTTGTCCAACTCCTCAATCATTTTTTGCGCTAAAAGAATATTGTCAGTAATGTCCTTGCCCTTAATGAAAGCAGACTACTGTTCAACAATAATATGAGTAAGATGAGGCTGCAATCTGTTAACTATAATCTTACTCATAACTTTAGATATCACAGTAGTGAGAGATAGAGGACGAAAATTATCCCAAGTGATCTTATCATTACTTTTTGAAATAATAACAATCAGAGCAGAGGTAAAATATTTACCAGGATTGTTTCCAAGGAAAAAACTTTGGATAGCAAGTATAAGCTCCTTCTTAATAACCTCCCAAACATGTATGTAGAAAGCAGAGGAGCTTTATTTGGGAAAATAGATTTGAAAGCATTCAAGATTTTCTGCTCATCTTGAGGATAAACCAAACTAAGGTTATTACTATAATCATACTCATTCTCAAAATAAATGGGATCAACAGGCATAATGTGAGTAGAAGTGTGAAAGAGCTCAGTGAAGAAGCTAACAACACTATCACCAATCTCGTTCATATTAGTTTAAAATACTCCCATCAGCCTTTTTAATTTTTAAAATGCTATTGATGTTTCTTCTGTGCTTAAGAGTAGCATGAAAATATTTAGTGTTTTTATCCCCAACAACAAAGGAAGAATCATTAGCTTTCTGTTTAAGCAAATTTTTCTCTAATGCAATAGCATCCAATAAAGCTAGATGAGCTTGAACAACAGTGTCCATCAAATGAGGGGAAACATCAAGCTGGGCTCCCAAGGAATCAATGATATTCTGAGCATCCTGCACTTTTTTATGAACATTAGCAAAGACCTGACAATTCCATTTAATGAGGTGCGTAGCCATTTTCTTATGCAACTGCCACAAGACAAATCAAGGAGTCCCAATGCCATCAAATTTCCAACCTGGTGTCACCAAATCAAGAAACGTAGCATGTGAAGTCCAAACATTAAGAAATTTAAAACGAGATGTGGACGGTTTGATAATAACAGCCAAAGTGAGCAAAATAGGATTATGGTCAGAGGTAACATGACTCAAATATTGCACATTGACAATAGGAAAATGGCTTATAAAAGCCGAATTAGCCAAGAAACGATCCAATCTCTGATAAAGAAATCCCCTTCTCCATGTATAAAGAGATCCAGTATAGCCCAAGTCATAAAGACCTGCATTAGACACAAAATTAGAAAATCTATTAATAAGAGCAGACTCAACTCTACCACCTCATTTTCTTTCCATCAGTTTCATGATCATTTGAAATCCCCACCTACAAACCAATTCTCATTGATGATACTTCCCATAAACTCAATTTCTGACAAAGCAAGTTTTTTTCATGCAAAAAAGTGCCCCACCCCTGAAATCCATCAAAGCAAAATTTGAGTGAGAATGTATTGATCCACATCTTCAATAATTGAAAGAGTGATAGTGGGTTTCCAGATGACCCAAATTTTGTTGTTAACGTTGCAGTGAGAACAATAGCCTTTGAATTTATTCAGAATTCTGTGTTTATTAACATGAACCAAATGTTCCAAAATAGCAAAAATGAGTAATTTGTGCCATACACAAGTTTTTAAGCCTATTAAGGGAGATAGGGTCCGCCACTCCCCTAATATTCCATACCATTATGTTAAACATGATGTCGTGAGCCAACCTTTCTAGAAGATCTGGAGTTAAACCGACTGTTCTCCATCTAAGTGATAAGTACCTTCCTGAATAATGTTACTATCGTTAAGTCTAGATAACTCAATGTTACGTTTAGCCTTTTTCCATGAGTGCTTTTGCACTTGTCAATGAGTGCTTTTGCACTTGCTTGTCATTCATTTTCCAAAGTTAATGTAGTTTTATCTAAAACAGTATTTATATCAACTATATTAGAATGAGTTTTAATTATAGGAAGAGTAGAGTGTCCTATTATAGGAGAATGAACCATGGTACTAGAAAGAGTAGAGTTTCCATTATCTTTAGTGCGTCCAGCCGATTGGAGAAGCCAGCCGTGACCTGTTGGTAGAACAGCCTCTTTGAATGTCGTAAGTCCTCTAAGGTCATGGGCTCAAATCCCCCTCTGGTCAGTTTGCCGGTAGCGAGGGCGGTCCTCGAATAGTTAGGCATATGAGGGTGGCTCGGGGCTCGTATAATAGCCTCCGACCATTCTTTTTAATATATATATATATATATATATATATATATACACACACACATATATATATATATATATTATAAACGCCTAATCCATACGATACATCGGACACCAGCATCCTAAAAGGATGAAACATGGATAAAACACAAAAAAACAACTTGCAGGAAATAAAACTGCTAGGCACGAGCCAGCTTGGTTTTGCCTCTGCCTCTGGTTCTGGGAGTGGAGATAGCTAACAAATTGCTGAGTATCGTTTCATTATCCGAAGTTACTAGAGTATCATCCATTAAGTTTCCAAGATGGGGTGTGCCTCCATTCTTCTTTTTCTTTCTAGATGTGTATACCTGCCTTTCCTCATCCGCGGACTGGCTCATCTGATCGGTGTGGTCAACAAATTGTTGGGCATGTAGGCGAGAATGAGCCCCCAGCTCCTGACTAGCAGTAACAACATTCTGATTCTGAAGAGATGGTAAGCATGTCTCATCAACACCTAATGCATCCTGAGGTTGTGGAGCTTCAATACTATTCTGATTATCGGACCCAAGCAAACAATCTGCCACTATATCAGTCGGAAGAACAAAGACAATATTGTCTCCGGTAGTGGGAGGGGGAGGGGGTATCGGGGGAGGTGGTATCGTGTCAACCGGTGTTTCAATAGTCTATGGAATGCACTCAGGAGCGGAGGAGGGACATATATGAGGTGGGGTAGATCTAGAGGCGCTTTTACTTGAAGGTTTTAAATTCAGATGCAACTGATAATATTGAGAAGGAGAATGTCCAAATATACGACAGTGGGTACAATAAAGTGGTATCTGTTCAAGTTCTTCTTGCTGCCAATATCCTTGATGTTGTGTGTCAAACCATATTTCTCCCGGAAAAATGTAAAGTAATATCTCTTTCTATCAAAACTCTGGTTTCTGAAAGCCGAGTCAGATTCACTGTAGGCGTGTCAGCTTTGAGAGGTTTAACGTAGGTTTACCGTATACCATCACTAAAGCGAAGAGAAGCTCTTGACCGTAAAGGTGGACCTTCAAACCTGGGAAGCGCAGCCAAACAAGAATGGTAGGAGATTCAGAACGAAGGTCAAAATCCACCGTCCATTTTAAAACCTTCATCACCTGGTTGTCTATTCAAAGGATTCTTCTCGCAAACAAAGGGCGTAGTTTTCATCATTTGATAATTGAATGAGAATGTGCCGACCATCCAATTTACCAATCTTCCAACCCCTTTCAGCTTCATTTGCTCAAAATCCTTTCGAATTAGCTCAAGTTTAGGGTTTCCATAAAGAAACTTACCTACTAAGAACAGTCGACAGGGCGCAGCTAAGGTGGAGATCTCGGCCTCTGTGAGAACGATTGCAGGTTTGTTGTTTTTACTAGATGTTTTTTTGAAAAATTCGGTTTCAACGTCAAGAGCAAAAGTATCGTGGTAATATTGTGGAAACATATTCGAAAGAGGCGTAGGAGCGTCCAGAAACCATTTCTTCAGCAAGCTGTCGATCGACACAGACAGACGCAAACACAGACAACCGCAAACTCTGGCGAGCGGCCGACAACGCTGGTGGAAGGCGAGTGGAAACAAATCGCTAGGTGATAGATGATGGTGCTGCGACGCGTGGAAGACGACACAGTTTGCGTCTTTTCTTCCGCAGTTGACGACGCCAACACATGGACGCGTGAGAGAGTGGAGATCGGAGCAACATCGACAATCGAAACGCTAGGGTTCGCCATGGGGCGGAACCCTAGCAGAGCGGCGGGATGACGACATTCATTGCTCTAATAGCTCCTTTAGCTCTTTTTGTATCAATCTAATTAATTTAACTGTTGTTTAAGTCTGCCTGGCTTTATAAATTAACTGAAAAATTTTGTTCAAGTTTGCCTTGCTTATCGTGTGGGCCATCCACGAAAAATTTTGAGCCAAACATGAGCTGTTCTTGTGTTGGAGAGCGATTTAGCTTGTCAAATATTCCATTGGTTATTTATTAATATCAATAAATTACTCGTTTTGTCTTTTCATTTTTAGCACTGCTGCCCTTGCCTTTATATCATTCTTCTGACGTTTTGACGCTAAATGATTTGACTAAATTATGCTGTAACTTCATGTACATTAGGTCCTTAACTAAATTGAAACTCAACATTTTCTTGCAGTTCCCAGATGCTGCCAATCATGGGTTATATCCATAATTTTTTTTAAAAAGGAAACTTTAAACTTTGTATCTCTTATGCTATTAGACAGGATTTGTACTTTCCATTGTGTTGTGTGCTTATGTTGCTTGAAAATTAAAGAATTATCTTTTTGAAAAGTTGGCTCTGTTTAATATTTACACGTGGAATCAAAAAATGCGAAATCGATCTTACAAAGCAATTTAAACCTGAACTATTGTCTGTCCTTCACGATGATAGTGTTGTATGCTATTTAATGTTATCGCTGTATGATACCGTTTACATAGTTTGAGAAAGTGATAGTTATCATTTCTAATATCCCTTTGATTATTATTTGTAATAGATATTGATACCACTAGATACCTAAAGTTATCACCTTTGGATGAAATATGAATGGGTAAATTAGTTTCATGAGTTAAATTAAGTACAGTTTGAAAATAGAAAAACATGAAAACGATCATGAAACTCTTAGATGGGTTTAATTTAGTACGTCCACAAGGCTTGTTACTCTAGTTGAGTACGTATAAAGGTAAAATTTCTAGAGTTAGTGGTATATACTTTTTTCTTATTTTCTTTTCAGATACATATATTCTGATGGATTATCGATACATCTCTATCTTTTTAAGAAATAAATTTCTTGAGTATTCCTTGATTCCTCTTTTTCCTTTATAGGAACTTGACAATGAGATGAGGATCTGCAAAGATGAATTTAAGAAGTTTGAGAGGAAAGATGTGAAATACCGGGAAGATCGTAATCACTTGAAGCAAAAAATTAAGAAATCTGATGACAAACTAAAAAAGGTATATGTGTAATGTGAGGTTTTGTTTATGTTGTCATCCTGCTGCTCGAATCTTTGTTTGTCGTTACAGACATTATAATTTGCTTTTAATGATTAAGACATTTGTGAACTTTTTATGGCTTGCTCTTTTCTGATGTTGAACAAATAACTGAAGTGTTTTTTTTAAAATAAGTTCTATGGTTTTATAGCTTTTTTTACAAAAAAAGACAATCAAATGATGTACTCGCTAAATTACTTGCGTCTCAGGACTCATCAAAAATTGATGAAATTAGGAAGGAAAGTGAGGAATCTTCGTTTCTGATCCCAAAACTTGAGGAAGAGATTCCGGAGTTGCAGCAACTTCTTCAGAATGAAGAAAAGACTTTGGAAGAAATCATAGAGAACTCTAAAGGTTGCCCTGGTTTTCAGTAATTGAATTTATTAGTATTAATGACTCTGATGCTTCTAGTCTTCTCCTGTATGTTTGACCATTATTGTCCTTTTTTTATTATATTTTTACCAGTCATTTTATCTTTGATATGGTTTGGTTTGACTGTTTTTCCCATGTTTGACTTTTGGAATTTAATGCCTTCATCTCCGATAACGTTGGTTATTATGTTTGCACTTTATGATCTTGTTATGTTTATACTCTGTTTAGGCTCCCTTTGGCATTTTAGTACGTTAATTTCCTTTCAACCCATTGACCAATTTAGTTTTTGATTCATGGTAATTCAAGGCGCTTCAGGTTTTTTTGTGTCTTATAATGTAGGGGCATGAACTTCTCATCTAACTCCTTTAGAAACAAAAAAAACAGCATGAGTATGGTCAATGATTTCAAGCCATCATAAATTCTTTTGTGGTTCAGCATTATCATGATCATTATAATTTCTCTTGACGCCAAGAATTTGGATTTTGACTCTCCTTAATTCCTTGCACTAAATTTATTTTACATAATGTTTCACACAACCATGTAACTTTGGTTCATCATCTAAATCCTTCTAAATGACACACTAATCTTTGTATTGGTACGTCCTCTACATTTTGTTGTACATGTCCAAACAACTAGAGGGCCATTTGGCTGTTTTTTAAATTAAAATCATGCTTTATGAAGATAAAGTTTCCCATTTTTTCACTCATTTTGAACATGAAAAACACTGCTGTTCCCGGTCCCAAGCTAGGATGTGAAAAGTGAAGGGTTGCGTGAGGTAGTTGACAACCAGCATAAAACTTGTTGAAAGAAATCATGACATGAATTCTTTTGATCTTTGTGTAAGTGCTAGCGCGTCCCCTGGAAGCGACGCGCTGTATAGCCTGAGTACAAAGTGTGCAAGGGGGGCGCTACACGGCGCCCGAGTGTAGTGTCAAATAAGAAAAAATTCTCACATTATGGACGAATGTAAGTAAAGAAGTTAGTCCATAAAACTAATAAAATTAATATTAGGATAGGATCTTGGAATATATGTACTCTCAATAGTAAATTAATGGAATTAGTTGATATTATGAATTAGTTGATTGATTCATAGAAAAATTAATATCTTATGTATTCAAGAAACTAAATGGGTTGGTGAAAAGACTAAGGAGATTGATAACTTAGGTTTTAAACTTTGGTATTCTGGTAAGAGTCGCACTAGAAATGATATAGGTGTAATTATAGATAAGAGTTTGAAAGATAATGTTGTAAAAATATAATAGAGTTGGAGATAAAATTTTAGCATTTAAGATTATCATTGATACTAAGATTTTTAATATTATAAGTGCTTATGCTTCTCAAGTATGTTTAGATATAAGGTCTAAAGATAAATTCTTGAATGACTTAGAAGAGTTAATACAAATGATACATCTTGAAGAAAGAATTTTTATTGGAGGAGATTTAAATGAACATGTCGGTAGAGTGGTAGAAGATTTTAGAAATATTCATGGTGGCTACGGTTTTAGAGTGACTAATGAAGAACGTAAAACTATTTTAGATTTTGTTTTAGCGTATGATTTTGTTATTATTAATACTTTATTCAGGAAAAGAGATGAATTTCTTATTACTTATAAGAATGAATTTAATAAAAGACAAATTAATTATTTTCTTATGAACAGAAGAGATCGTCGAGATTGTAAATATTGTAAGGTCATTCCATGTGAGGATTTAAGTATCGAACATTGTTTATTAGTTCTTGATTTAAGATGAAGAGTTGTAAAATAAATAATATTAAGACTCATTATCGTAGAATTAGATGGGGGAACCTAAAAAACACAAATAAAAATATCTTTATGAATAAAATTTAAGATTTCAAAATTTGGGATGTTCATGATGAAGCGAATGCTAAGTGGAATAAAGTAACACACACTATTAAACAAGTTGCAAAAGATGTACTTAGAGAATCAAAAGAAAAAATTTCTTCAAATAAAAATAGTTGGTGGTGGAATAATAATGTACAAGAAAAGATAAAATATAAGAAGTTATGTTGTAAAAATTGGTTTAAATGTAAAAACTTAGTTAAATTGTAAAAATTGGTTTAAATGTAAAAACTTAGAGAACTGAGAAAAATATCAAATGACCCGCAATGAGTCTAAAAAAACAATATGTGACACGCTAAAAATTCAGCTTTTAATGATCTTTATAATAGATTAGATACTAAGGAGCGTGAAAAATATATGTCTAAACTACCCAAACAAACAAAAATAAAAATAAAGATTTAACTCAAGTAAAGTGTATTAAAGATGAAAATCAAAAGTGCTTTTCTTAACAAAAATATTCAATCTAGGTGGGTGAGTTATTTTGATAAATTATTTAATGAACTGAAAATACGATCAACCTTAGTGATCTTAATTTTGTTAATATTAATAAAACATTTCATTTTTACCGTCGCGTTGTGAAAAAAGAAGTTGAGGATGCTTTAAAAAAAACCAAGGGTGGAAAGTCTGTATGACCTGATGATATCTAAATTGAAGTATGAAATTGTTTAGGAGATTTGGGAGTTTCTTGGCTTACTAAACTCTTTAATATTATTTTAAAAACTAAAAAGATGCCTGAGGAGTGGAGGAAGAGTATTTTGGTCTCCATTTTTAAGAATAAAGGGGACGCACAAGAGTGTACAAATTATAGAGGAATTAAATAATGTGTCATACTTTAAAATTATGAGAGAGAGTAATTGAACATCAGTTAAGACATATTACAAAGATTTCTCATAATCAATTGGGATTTGTGCCGGGCAGGTCTGCTATGGAAGCTATACATTTATTGAAAAGTTTGATGGAGATGTTTAGAGATAATAAGGAGAATTTACATTCGATTTTTTTTTTAATTTAGAAAAAGCTTATGATAAGGTTCAAAGAGATATCCTTTGGAGAGTTCTTGAGAAGAAAGACTTTGATATGACTTATATTCAAGTTATTAAAGATATGTATACTAGAGCTGTTACTTGTGGTCGAACTGAAGGAGGATTGACCAAATATTTTTCTATTTCTGTTGAATTACATCAGGGATCGACTTTAAGGTCATATCTTTTTCTTTAGTTATGGATGGTCTTATTGGACATTTACAGGAGGATGTACATTGGTGTGTGCTTTTTGCTGATGATATCCTTCTCGTGGATAAGATGAGAGAAAAAATCCAGGAAAAAACTTGAATTATGGAGGTCTACTTTGGAGTCTAAAGGCCTTGATTTGATTAGAATTAAAACTGAATACATAGAAATGTAATTTTAGTAGTAGTAGCTCTAGTGACAGAAGTGTAACTTTGGGTGATCAAATTATTAAAAGGTGTAAACAATTTAGATGTCTCTGGTCTGTTGTTCGAAGCAATGGTGATATAGATGAAGATGTTAATAGTAGTATTCAAGTTGGTTGGTTGAAGTGGAGGAATGCTTCAGGCCTATTGTTTGATAAAAATGTATCGCTTAGACTGAAAGGAAAATTTTATAAGACGGTGGTGAGGCCTGCAATGCTTTATGGCGCTGAATGTTGGCCTTCAAAAGAGAGGCATAATGCTAAGTTAAGTGTTGCCGAGATGAGAATGATTAGGTGGATGAGTGACTTTACACTTTGAGACAAAATGCGAAAATGCGAAATGAATATAAAATGCGAAATGAATATATCCATGATAGGGTTGGTGGAGCTTATGTGACGGAAAAAAATAGTGAAAATCGTTTTAGATGGTTTGAACACATTAAGCGTCGACCATCTGATGATCCGATTAGGAGAGTAGATGTTTTAGATTCAACTTATGTTAAGAAAAACAGAGATAGACCTAGGAAGAGATAGACCTAGGAAATAGACCTAGGAAGAGTTAGGTTTATTGTATAAAAAATGATCTTAATTTATTAGAACTAAATGAAAATATGACACTAAATAGGACGCAATGGAGAAAAAAATATTCATGTAACCGACCCCACGTAGTGGGATTAAGGCTTTGTTGTTGTTGTATTATGAACATGAAAACCTCACTTTTAAGGGATTTGAAAATGTTTGTAGATTCGAAAATTCATATTAATTTTTATCCACATCCAATTAGATGATGGAAATTAAAAAAATCCAGTCTTTTTCAAGCTTGCTTTCCTATGGTGCACATACACTTATGTACACATAGAAGTGCAGTGTTCAACATGTGTCAGACAGAGCTGTCACGTGCTCAATTAAAAAATAATAAAAAATTTCAGACCAAATTACATTTAAATTTTCTAAAATGTTACAAAATATATAATAAAATGTTAGATTTTGCTGAGTTATGCTGTGCTAAATAACCGATTTTTATTTTTGTATGAAAAATTTTAAAAATTATTGATGATCATATTACTCTTTTAAATTAAAATTTTAATTATTATTTTTATTGTACTTAATAAATTTTGTTATTTTTTTAACTTTTTCTTTGCCTACTTTATATATGAATCATCTGATAATCATTCATATTTTTTAAATCCTTAACTACTATTATTTTTTAATATTTATATCGTCAGGATCTTTTCCTTTTTGTAATTCATGTTTATTTAATTTATGCATAAGTAAATGTCATTTTTAAATTATTTATATATATATATATATATATATATATATATATTATATCACTCATATTTTCTCCAAAAAATATTTTAACATTGCTGGTAAACCAATGAAGTTACTCATGTGGTTTTCTGATTTTGACCCAATCATGAATCTTCTACTATACCGGTATAGTTTAGTCTGCTTAGTTTTAAACTGGATTTTTTTCATTATCACATTCTCTTCTCTATTAGTGTCATATTTGGGGACTCTATCAAGTGAATAAGAATGGTTCTAAGGATATATCTGTACCACCTGGAGAGAAAACTATCACATGACAGATTTTGGTGTCTGATTCTCTTGCCCTTGCCGTTACTGTTACTGCGAGTGATGTGATGCTGACACTTTCAAATCCCATAGAAAACAATACTGATGGACTATTACCTACTAATGATAATGTTCAGACTGATAATCAGGGGAGCCTCGTAGCTCCACTTCTTCAGGAAGTTTCCGATGTAGAGACAACTCATACTTCACATATACTAGAACCTATTGTGGGTACTACGGTTAGTATTCCTTCTGCCTCAGCTCTACCACTCCATCAGACTGATTCTTCGAATGAGGAATGAAAGGTCTATTCCAGGAGGAAGAAGAAGAATGGAGGCCGACTCCAACTCGGGATCATATCATATTGGATGATACATTGTACTACTGACAATGACAATCATCTTACCAACTTATTAGCTTCCTCCTTCCCTAAAACGAGAGACAGAGACAAGATCAAATTGGGTACCTGATACAAGGTATTTCGATACTGTAAGACTTTTTATTTTAGTATCTAATGTATTTTCTGTTTTTTCTAGTTTTGAAATCTTTTGTGGTTTTTTGTGTTGACAGAGTATCATGCTTGGGCCCTCCCACACATTGTATCTGTATTTTTTTTTCTATTTAATATATTAGTCTTTTTGGGGCTTTCAATATATATATATATATATATATATATATATCCCTGCCTCGTGTATTTATTGATGCATTATACATGCTTTCTAACTTAAAGCTACGTAATAAGCCTAAATCTTATTTGATCTACCTTAGGTATACTATTTCTATGCCTCTCATGTAGCTAAATCTGTCATTGTTTCAATATATAAATTATATTAGTTATTATTGAAATATTATGATTTTGTGATCATTGTTTACGTACTTTTAGACTAGCAATTATAGGATACACTAAGGGTAATTTGACAACCGGCGCGTCAAAAGATTTGTACAAAATTGAGTTTATTACTAATGATGCACTCAGCATTGATTAAATGGAGGTCGACCCAACTTGTTGGGATTATATTGATGATTTTGTTGTTGATGATGAACAGTCACTTTATTTTGCTGTTGATGATGATGGTAACAGTCACTCTATACATACATCGTGAATCAAAATTTTAAAATGTTGGAAAATTTTTGTCTAAATCTTAATAGAGCTCTTTCATTGGGTGCCCTGTATTATTAAACCTACTGAATCAATGAATTGTCATTTCTCTTCTTAAGAGCTTGCACTTTTTTGGCTTGTGTTAGTCATGCGGGAAGGGCCATCACGCACGTCTCCCTTATTCCTATTATTTTGGTTGTTGGCCTGCTGATTTGATTTTCTTGCCTTGTTGCCACTCGTTGGTCTTGCTTTTTGTTTGATGCAGTTGAAACAGAGAAGTATTTTTCCGAGCTCAATAAAGTTCGTGCAGAACTAGAACCTTGGGAAAGCAAACTGATAGAACATAAAGGAAAACTTGATGTTGCTCGTTCTGAGAACAAGCTGTTGAATGAAAAGGTTACTTAGTTATATTTTTTTTTTTTAAATTTTATTACGAATGTATAATCTAGATATTCACTTTTTATGCTCATTTATTGATCATATCCCATTTTATTGTAAATTAATATATTAACAAATTCTATTTTTTGTGGCATTTACGTACATACCACACAATTTTTATGTATTTAAATAACTAGCACTTAAATTCATACATGCATACCACTCAAATCTTTAAAATTGAATAAAAAATAACACCATTACTACATTTCTAGAAGTGAAATACACGTTTTCATGCATAGTTTTATGACGTCAATATGTTGTAAAAGAAAATATCAAATTTTGGATGGTAGATATGTAAATAGATAAGGATTGTGTGGTATGTATATAAAATCTCCTCTTTTTTAACTCTTGTTAAGGATAGTTTTTATCCTCAAAATTTTACTTGTATTATATATATATATATATATATATATTACAGAAGTGGTTACTGATTCGTATGCATGTTTGTTTCCAAATTCCTCCTAGCCTGACAAAAATTTGGCTGTTTCTTTGGTTGTGAATGTTTGCATCAAAATTTCGTGTATGGCTCATCGAGAAATCTAATCTTTCTTCAGCATGCTGCTAATCGGGCAGCTTACGAGGAGGCTCAACAACAATTACATGATATAGAGAATAAATTACACGCGAAGAATGAATATATAGTTGAGCTTCAAGCAAAAATAGAGAAAAATAAACTTGAAGCATCAGAAGCCCGGAAATTTGAACAGGCAGGCCACCTATCCTTATATTATTCTGAGAAATTGTACTGTATGTCACTCATTTTGACCTTTTCAACAGGAATGCATTTTGAAACAAGATTCACTTATTCCGCTCGAGAGTACAGCTAGGCAGAAAGTTGCAGAATTTGAGTCAACGTTGCAGTCAGAGCAGAGTCAGGGTTCTGTTTTGAAAGAAGTATTGCGAGCTAAGAAATCGAAGGAAATAGATGGAATTTATGGTCGACTTGGAGATCTTGGTGCAATTGATTGTGAGTTCTTTCTAATAGCGCTTGAAGGGTTTTTATTTTCATCCAAGGAGCCGTTTGGCCTTTTTTGGGTTCCTTTTTTTCTTTTATTTTTGTTTCATCTCTAGAGGTCTCTGCTAGGCGTCACGTTAAATTCTATAATTTCACTGAGATTTATAACGAAGAACATCCTTTGTAATCATTTTCTTTTTCTTGCTTATCGTATCTTTTTTTTCTTCCTTGGAAACTCCTATATGATATGGGAAAAGTCGAGAAATAGATTTTGGTGAGAGGAAAGTAGAAAGTTGGCAAAGGAGTTAAAAAGTCCTAAGGATGTAGAGAGGGCTTGATACTTTTGTTCATAGATGTGGAAGGGAACTTGTGGCATTAATTGGTAGAGAATTCATTGTAATCACAGCCATCATAAGAGAGGGGAGTTTGTGGGATTCAAAATATAATGTTTTTTTTTTTTTTGCTGGGAAAAAAGTTGCAAATTCCAACCATGTCTAAGACCCCTATGGCTTGCTCCTTTCATAAAAGTTTGTTTAACGAGTAGTTGAAGGCATTTTTTTTAATGAAAGAAACATGAATTTAAAAAGTTGTTTTTCTTATCTCTTTAAAAACATGCATGTTACGATGCGCTTATCATCTTTAATGAATAAATATGTGCTCTTGTGGTTATAATGATATGTTCTATTGTTAAATTGCTATGTTTGGCCTAACAAAATGATAGATATACATGAGAATGATTTCACATCGTATTTATGGCTAAGGTCTATGGGTTGGGCTGTTCGCCCATTAATGCGGTATGTGAGCTGGGTTCAGAATGTCATGAAACACATCAGCTCATATCCGGTGCGGGCGTTGGAGCATTGAGAGGACCTTTCCTTAGTACTAGAGGACCGGGAAGGATGCACCTCTAGTGTACCTATTATCTTGCCTACGGTAAATGCTGGGTAGCTAAGTGTGGAGTGGATAACTGCTGAAAGTATCTAAATAGTAAGCCCATCCCAAGATGAGTGCTCTCCTATTCCAACTTCCCCAGAGCCTCCGGTAGCACAACCGAGATAGTAGTGGGCTCTCTAGCCCTGTGGGGACAGAGTGATAGAATTATTGAGAATCCAAGAAAAGGTCACGACAAAACGAGCCATTTATCATTAGGATAGGTGTCAAGTGGAAGTTCAATGATGCATGCACCCACTAATAGTGCTAGTCTCAAACCTCCATGATATTGGGCTACTTTATTTTCTTTTGGCTCTATTAACTCACATTTCAACATGAGTTATTTAAATTTAGCTGAATGCTCCTCTGCAAATAATTCTTTTTACTATTGATTGTGAAGTTTCAAAAAATCGTGTCTATAGTTTGCTTGAAGAAATTTATTCTGCATCTCCATCATCTTTTTGGACCAAATAGTGATTTTACTTGTCCTATTAGGTTGGGCATGCACTTTAGATTCCGCCACCATAGAGAGGTGTTTTTTTTTATTTTAGCTATGGCAAATTAACCCTTTTATCTGGTGGAATGTCTTTGTATTTAATGATTCGTTCCAATGTGTGGAGCCACTAAATGAATGCGCTAGAGTCCATATGACCATCAAAATCTGGAATATCAATTTTTACCCCAAAATTATTCTATCTTTTTTTATTCTCAATTCCAAATCAACGAGGCATTGATTTTTCTACACTCGAGGCTTCTTGGTGGAATGGATTTTTTTTGTCTTCTCCGTCTTGGTTGTCAACGTTATGGCCAGTTGTGATTTCACCATATTGTCTCTTTTCACTGTCAGTGAGCCTATAGTGTGAATGGTTTGTCGTGGCATATTCTTAATGGTAAGTACTAGAACACCTCTTTTAACATTTTTTCTTAACAATGATAGTTGCTTCATCTAAACTAGGATTTTACCCAAGGTGAGGATTGGGTTTATTTTTGTTGGCTGAAAGGTGTCAGTGTTGGGTTTGGGGCGGAGTGTTAGTCAATGTGTAGGTAGGTGAATTATGTTTTGTGGATTTAGGATTTGGAATTTTGATTATGTTTTGTGGATTTAGGATTTTTATGACTTTGATACCAAATGATGTAGATTTAGAGTTTTTAGATTGTGTAGAAGGATCAACAAAGGGTTTGTGATAATTAGTAGATCTGAATGGACGGGAAGAATTCTTAAGACGGATGTGCTTGGAGTGAAAAAGAGTTAGGGTGCTGTTGGAAGAGAAGTAGTGAGGAAAGAGGGGCCAATGGCTAGGTTGGAGGAACATGGACATTGACGAGAATCCACCTATGTTCTTGGTCAATCTACAATCACACCACTTGGAAGAGAAGATGATGCTCGTCTCCAATTTGAGAGAAAATAGAGAATAAACTTGAAATTGTATAAAATAAAGTTTCAGAGTATCTTGCATGTTTCAAAACATATTATATCGAGCAAGCTAAATTAACCTTAATTCCTAGGGGCATACATGATTTTGTTAGAGAGAGAGAGAGAGGGGGTGGTGTGTAGGCCACAACCGAGCCAACAATTCTATCAGCATGTCCGCCTAGGTTGTGGTCTTCTTTGTCAATTCATCATAATCACCTTTATACATGCTTTTTCTTTAATTGTGGTTTTGACTTATTTTAATTTAGATATGCCTATATTGCATCTCCTTTGTGTAGTTATTTATTTATTTATTAAGATTTAGTGCAATTTATCATTTATGTATGTTCTTTATTTATATTTGTTTTAAACATTATTGAATTTTATTTTTACAAAACCATAGGAGCTGTTGATCCCCCTTATAGATTATCATGTTTCTCAGGAAGTGATGATAACTATTTTAGGGTATGAACTTCATCATTGAAGTTATATTAACCGAAATCCATTGATATTTGATTATCTTTCATTATTTTTTGATTGTTAGAAATGTCTTATTTGTTTCTCATGGCTTATCATAAATTTGGGCATGTTTGATAATGTTTTCATCGTTCCAGTTATGCTTGAAGTTATATTAAAATGAAGCCGACATTTTTGATAAATGACAAACACATGACTTACCACACTTGTTTATTCGAGAGTTTTCAATCTTCTTAGTTTATTGATGCTAAATTAGGGAATGAATGAGGGGGGGGGGGGGGGGGGGTGGGGCTTTTTTCTCAACAATGTGGGGATTATGAGAAATAGAGACGGCTAATTGCCTCAATTATGAAAGTTGTAGATTGCTTTTATAAAGTTTGATAAGTGATACATGAGTTGTTGAATGCAGTAGGCGGCAATGCACATTGTTGTGGCAAAACATAATGTTGAGATAGTTTGGGGGGGATAAGCTAATTTTGCAATCATGATTGGAGAATGTAGGTAGATTGTTATCGTGTACAAATTTTGTGAGAAATAGAGACGGCTAATTGCCTCAATTATGAAAGTTGTAGATTGCTTTTATAAAGTTTGACAAGTGATACATGAGTTGTTGAATGCAGTAGGCGGCAATGCACATTGTTGTGGCAAAACATAATGTTGAGATAGTTTGGGGGGGATAAGCTAATTTTGCAATCATGATTGGAGAATGTAGGTAGATTGTTATCGTGTACAAATTTTGTGAGAAATAGAGACGGCTAATTGCCTCAATTATGAAAGTTGTAGATTGCTTTTATAAAGTTTGACAAGTGATACATGAGTTGTTGAATGCAGTAGGCGGCAATGCACATTGTTGTGGCAAAACATAATGTTGAGATAGTTTGGAGGATCCTATTAATTTGATGGCATGTCAGAGTAGAGAGTTATAAATGTCTAGATTTTTGTTGAATTCAATGGTGCATACTGATTGCACAAGATGCCTTCATATTGTTTGCAAAAGAAGGCGTTGGCGCTGTTCTCCTTTCTTTGCTCCTTCATAAGTTGTTGCTTTGAAAATTTGGAAGCACTCTTCCTCCTTTGGTTTTTATTTAGGGCTCATTTGGCATCTTTTTTGTTCCCTTTCAGTTATTTATTTTTGAAAGTGTGTCTGGTTGGTATAATTTTTTTATGTTTTAATCTTTTGTTTTTAAAAGAAAATCAACTTGTTTCTAGAAGTACTTAAAACACCTAAAAAATAGTTGGAGTATTTTTAAAAATAACTATCTCAATCAAACTTATTTTAATTTAAATCAAAATACAATATATATAGGAGGAAGAAGAAGAATGGAGACCTACTTGAGCTTAGGAATCTAATGAATGATACTTTGGTTACTTTGGGTAATGGTACACGCATCACCAATTTGTTAGTTGACTCACTTCCGAGAACCAGAGGTAGAGGCAATACTAAATTAGGGCGTCCGTAATTATATGTATCTTTCTATTTTTGAAATGTTGTGTGTGTTGTACAGTATGGTTGGGTGCCTTTTTTGGGCCCACTGATACAACATGTTGTATCTTTTTTTTAAATATATATATATATATATATATATATATATATATATATACATACATACATACATACATACATAATATGAGGGCGTCTTCTTCCTTCCCACTCGGCTCTGTTAGGGTTTCGCCCGATGGCTAACCCTAGCAACAATTACGACTTCGCTCGTCTTCGTGCTCGATTCCGTTCGTCTTCCCGACTTTGAGACGTTACGGCTTGGCGCGCTCGTTTCTGTTCGTCTTCCTCGCTTCCGGCTCTGAGACGCGTCTCCTCGCATCTTCGCTCTGCGGCCCGTCTCCTCACTCTGCGACTTGTCTCACGTCTTTCCTCGCTTTATGGCTCCCTCTCGCGATTTCTGCGGCTTCTCTGCGCCTGTCGAAGCTTTTTCCTCTCATTGAGCAGGGCTGCTTTCTTCTCTGGAGGCCGCACTTACCTTTGAGGATGACTTCAGACAGATTGTATGCAACTGCCTTTCGGGTGTCCACACCTCAGACACACCTAAATTTCCATTTTTTGCTCATTCGTTGTTGACCTCATTTTTAGTGAGGTCTAGTCTTTCTCTTAGGGTTTAGGATCTAGCCTTAGGAATCTCCCTTTGACTATCCTAGAACTTTAGAAATGAGACCCGCCTCATCTTAGAAATTTAACCTACTTCTGTACCCTTTTGGAGTTTTGCGTGTGTGGTATCGACTTCTAGCACTTAGAAGGGTGAAACCAACATGAGGGAACCCAAAAGGAGTCTCGATAGGATCTTTAAGCCTTAGGGTGACCTTTTGCACAATTCGCACTCCCGCGCACAAACTTTGCAATTCAGAGAGTCGACACGTCCGACCACTACAATTCGCATCGCTTGCACCATTATCTGTCAAAGACTTGAATAGATTTTGGATACGATCGATCGCATGTTGAAATGTTATGAAATTTGAATTTTGACGTGTTTTTGACCCGATTGTCGACAATGTAGTTCGAGCGACCCTGGATGACAAAACGGACTGCACTGACGCGTCCGGAATGTTGATTTTGCTTAGGGAGGACACCCATTTTGCTAAGGCACTGCGCGCGAATAAATTGCATGGGTTTTAATATGTGTGTGTGTATATATATATATATTAATAAAAAAAATGAATCCTTTTTTTTTCCTTTTAAAGCCATAAATCCCTAAACTCACGCACCCGAGCCCTGCCTCCATTTCCCTCTCCCGTTCGCGTGTCCCACTTTCCCCTTTCTCGATCTCGAGCCGACCGAGCCCCTTCGAGCCCCTTTGAGCCCCTTCTCCTCCACGCGAGGGAGAGTTGACCTCTCATTCGTCTTTTCCCGACACTTTTCTGCTCGAGAGTCTCCTTATCGAAGCTGCGCCTGCCTCTATGAGCTGCGATTTTCCTTTCTTGGTAGGTTGACTCTGATGAGCTTGCTCCCTGGAATGTTTGAGTGGCAACCTTCATTTCTTCCCGATGCTTCTCCCCCTGCCACTCGGCTCGCCCCTTGGGCCCGCAGTTGGCTCGGCTGCTGTAGGCAGGGAAGGCGCTCTCTTTTCTTCTTTGACCCGATTAGAGTATCGGGGAGAGGTTGGATGGTTTCATTCTTTCCCCTTCTCTTTTCTGCCTATAAATACAGTTTCTTTTGGGTTTTGTGGTTGTTGAAAAATTCCTAAGGAGAGGGGAAGTGGGGATCTTTGCTATTGGAAGATTTTAGAAGGAAGATTTCTGTGGGAGCATCTCCTTGAAACTATTTTTGCAGTGCGGCGCTTCTACATTTGCATTAGAAAGGTATCTCTTCTCTCCCCTTTTCGGTGCCTTGCTTCCTTTCGGTTTCCTCTCAGCCGAGCCACCGAGCATGGCTCTGTTGGATGGTACAGCATGCTAGTTTAATTCACTTTCATGTATTTTGAGATATTTACCTTAAGAGTATGTGTAGGATAAAAAGGTGAGCATGTTTCAGGAGTTAAATTTGATTACTTGCTTAGAATGGTGGAAATATAACATGACATAAGTGTTCTTCTTTTCTCTATTTGCTTGAGATGAAATCGTGGCATATTCCTATTACTGTGAATAGGAAGGTTGAAACATGACTTTGAGATAATTTTAGCTCCTCTTGCAAGCATGTTGGAATATGTATTATGAAACTTTTCATCTATTTTTATTTAGCATGAGATATTTGAAATCTACAGATCAAATGAGTCAATCATCAGATGAGGAATGACCTGTCTACACATTCAGAAGGAAGAGGAAAAAAAATGAAAATCTACTTAAGCTTATGAATCTGATGGATGATACTTTGGTTACTACGGACAATGATACTCATCTTACTAATTTGTTAGTCGGCTCACTTCCGAGAACTAGAGGCAGAAGAACTAAAGTGGGACGTCCCTTGCACTTTTGTACCCTTTTGTGGTTTTCTTTTTTTTCCTTCATGTATCTTTGCTTTTTTTGAGTTTTGTGTGTGTTCTTTTGTTTGAATTAGGCTTGTTAGGTCATGTCATGCAACATTTCTGTATCTTTTCCATAATAATTTTTTTGCCCTTGTGCTTTTCTATATATATATAGACATATATATATATATATATATAGACATGTATATATATGTATATATATATAGACATGTATATATATATGTATATATATATAGACATGTACCAGAGGCTACTATACGAGCCTCTAACCGACCTTAATGTGCCTAACAATTGGAGTACCACTTCCTTAAGATCAACTGTGCCAAGGGGATTCGAACCCCTGAACTTAGTAGTCTTATACCGTGGATGCCAACCAACAGACCGTATGCATACATACATACATGCATGCATGCATATACATACATACATGCATGCCTACATATATATATATATATATATATATATATATAAAAGTCATCCCAAATGGTCCCTCAGTAGTCCCTTTGCTGACAAATAATGCTACTTAGGGGGCAAAGAAATGATAAAGTGATCACGAGAGATTCAAAATTTGAAACTGCTTCTTCAAGTAGAATGAGTTGGCATTTTAAAAAAATCACTATTTTTTATTTGTTCAGTGTGTTTACTACTTTATAGGAAGGAAAAGATCTAAATGTCTATATGATGTTTTCTTTCTCTTCTTCTTTATTTTAATTTTGGTCGCAATATTCTAGTGAGATTAAGAACTCTGCAATTTTTTCAGTAATTTATTTATTTTTAATTTTTTTCTTTAATATACTGTTTCATATCAAAGTTTGACGGACAACTAGTTAATCCGTTTGTGTAGGAGGGGCATGTGGGGATGTCTGGAAATCAACAACTTTATGTAGTTTTTCTTATAGGTGTAAATCAAAATGTGTTTTGGTGAGACTCATCTTAATTTACGTAACCAATTTTGAATCGAAGAATCTTGAACTTGAACTTTTTACCATTTACTTTACAGAGTATGTATGAACATGTTAAGCATTATGTTTTTAAAGCACTTTTTATTGTCTTAAAATGCTTATGCTCAGCCCCAGTCCCCTTTCTTTACCATGCCTAGTAGTCTGTTTTTGATTAAATATGTGCAGCAATGACTTTGATCATTCAATCTCCAGATAGTTGTTTGAATGACTTATTACTGAACCAGATGAAAAGTATGATTAATTATCTGGTTTTTTGTCTTAGTTCATATCATTCCCTCTTCAATATTAATTAGTTTACACCATGTACGTCATTTTGGCAGCAAAGTATGATATTGCAATATCGACAGCATGCTCTGCACTTGATTATATCGTGGTTGAAACGACAGATGCTGCTCAAGCATGCGTTGAGTTATTGAGGAAGAAGAATCTTGGCATTGCTACTTTTATGATATTGGTAAGCTTTCCTTGGCTTAGCAGTCCTTCATGCCTGCAGTTTTTGTCTTTTAATTTTTTCGATGTTGCATGTAGATTTTTTGTAGGACGTATTGGATAAATAGATGCTAAAAATTTATTATGATGAAGCTTAGATATTCTTATATTATAGACAAGATATTAGTCACTTGTTTTTATCTTGAATAGAGGTGTCAATAAATGTTCAGACATGACAATTGGACACAATCCTGACAAAACAAATTCAGGTTCGGTTTGACCTGAATAATATAGAGGGTTTTTTATTTTTATTTTTATTTTATTTTTTATTTCAATTTAAGATGTCACGCTGTTCAATATTCTAGTTGTGTTCATGTTAACCTGAAAAATGCCAAATCAGTCTACAAAAACTTGTTTAAGTTTAGAGTCTAAAGGCATCTTCTTTCTAACTGTTTGTAAGCCCTCCTTTGTCTCAATAGGTCATATTCAGGTTAACTCCTTTGTATTGACATAAGGAAATTCAATAAACCATTTAACCATTAAGATAGTTGTTTTGTGTATGACTCAATTAGTTGTGTGTGGGTTCAGGTTCGGGTCATATCGTTTTACCTGTATAATTGTCACAATCTGATCCGAAAGCTTGGCTTACTTTGATGAGAACAAACAATTATACATAGATTATCTCTTTATATAATACTAAAAAATCTTACAAACATAAAATCTTCCAACCTTAACAGAGCCAACAAGTTGCAAATTTTTATTCATAATTTTTTTATAGAATACATTAATTTTTATTTATTACAACATGTTTTCTTGAAAAAAAAAAGAATTGATACAAAAATTTAGTACATTATTTATCTTTAGCTAATATAGTTTGGTTGCAAACTCTCTTTTCTTTCGTCTATTTAATTTATGAAAGATTTTCATGAAAAATGTATATCAATTATTGTGTGAGAAACAACTTAGTCTTAGTGGATAAGAACATTTCTAGAATATAGTACTTTAAGAATTAGAACTTAATATGTGCATGTGAAGCTTTGCAATTCAATACTAAGTATTTCTTATTATAAACTTTAATGTAGGACATGTAACTTTTTGCTGATAAAATAAAGTAGTTATTATTTATTTATATTTTTTTAATCAATTTTTATAATTTAGCTTTTTATATAATACCCTTGTCGCAGGAGCTTCTTCTAAATCGGACCTTTTTAGTACGATTATCTCATTAACCTTTTCCAATCTAACCCATAAGGGTAGTTAATTATTTTTTGCATGGGTGCAAACGTTGCCAACTAGCATGTTGAAGGGGTTAACTTGCATCTTTCTTATTGAAATTTGTTCTGGAACTACTCAGTGTCCAAGACTCACAAATTTCAATTGAGAGGAAAACAAATAGAGTTTTGATATGTCCTTGGAAAAAAAAAATCTAAAAAAACTGTTTTCAGAAATAAGATTTCTACTTTGATACCATCTTGAGAATTTGAGGGATTTAGACGTTGATATGAAGAAATGTAGACTGCAATGCTATGAGATTGAATAGGGAAGTAGTTGATAAGGAAATGCTGTGACATTGTATTTCGGATCTTTATTAGAATCATTACAAAAACATTCATATAGTCTACAGAGGACAACTAATTATGGATCTGAATATACTACTTCTAGCTCTCTTTTTATATAAAATATGAGCAGTCCCAGCTGAATATCACTAGAGGCAAGTCCTTGAAATGAGTCAAATAATCTCCTTTTTCACATGTACGGCTCGTTGATAAAACATAGGTTTTGTACAAAAAATGTAGAGCAAATGAACATAAAGAAAAGTATGATAAGCATTTCATTAATGTTGAATAAGGTGGTTCTTTCCTAAATAAAGTTTATTTTTACCTTAAACAGTATCATAGGATGTACAGTATGATTTTTTTTGCCATATGCTTTTTTATACTAGAATGTTTCATGATTGTATGCTTAATATCTGTTTTATGGAACAATGAATCACAATAACGGATATTTCTTATTATGCATTGGCATAGTAAAAGTCACTTGACATATATTTCTTATTTCTAGTACTGCCATGTTCTTTCTAATGCAGGAAAAACAAACAGGATACGCACATAAACTTCAGCAGAAAATTAGAACACCCGAAGGAGTTCCGCGCCTTTTTGATCTCATTGTAGTCAAGGACAATCGGTTGAAGCTGGCCTTTTTTGCCGCCCTGGGAAACACAATCGTGGCGAATGACCTTGATCAGGTTTGGTTTTTGTGTAATATTTGTGGCATTTATCCGAAGTGTTTTGTTTGCGAAATTCATTCTTGTAGCAAAAGAAAATAGTGGGCTTTAAATTTGAATTCATGCTATCATGAGTTCTTTTGAAAGCTTGTGGAGTTTGAAAATCATTAACAGAGAAGGATTCCCATTGTACTCCTCTCACTTTATGGAAAACAAAATTGAAACCAAAACGAGAGCTTTGATGTTAGCTTGGATTTGAGAAAAATATTCCAATGCGGGTGGGGTTTTTTTACTTACTGGTCATGTTTTGGGGTTTTGTCACTGACTCTTTTTTTCTGTCATCCGGTTGAATGCATTGTGAAGTATTATAATTTTTTAATTGCTTAGGTTTTGGTAACATTTGAAATCCATGAAGTTTGATTTGGAATGTTATTTTTCTGAAAATTATGGACTGTTCGAGCTAACAAGGAGGTTTATATACGCCAGATTATATATTCATAATGTGATGTATCACAAAAATTGTGATGTATCCATGACCATCAAACATGTATGACATTATTGTACTAGAATTGTTTTGTCTGTCGTTTATTATTATTATTTTTTTAAGAGTCTTTTTGTAACCTATTAAAATTTCAACAATCATATTTCTATTTCCATTTTTATTGTGGTTTGGGCTTTTGCTTTGATATCATTTAGTATCGAGCTAGTCCAACTCTAGTCCTCTCTTAGTATTACCTAGCATCCGCCCCTTCCCAAGCCATCCCCACAAAATTTTTTCTTTCCCAATTCTCAAATCTTCGGCAAAAATTTGACCTAAACTTAATTTTTTCTTTACTAATTTTCAAAACCAACAACACCAAATTATTTTTTTGCACCGTCAACGTCTCCTACATTCTCTTTCACCTCTCAACCCTAAAACCTTAGCCATGCCACTGATAAGATACCTGCCCGAGCCTATCCAGGCCGAGATACAATGAAAGCTCTGCCGTCTTCAATCGAGGTTTATGGATATTGAAGAGGAAATCCAGTAGGTGGCTACCCTCGATCGTGATCTGAAAGGTTGATGGGGGGGACGAGAATATGTGAAGATGTGGCGGGAAATACAGCGTCAATTTTTATCAATTTTCTACTGTCAAAAGTTGCAGACTAGCTTATGAAGTGGAGAGACTGTATCACCAAACCACCCCCCTTGCGACAATAAAACCAATCCACAAGTTTTTCACAACCAAAAAATGTTGCAAGTGCCACAAGTTTGAAAATGTGAAAGCACAATGCACAACCAGGGGTGTGATCTACTTCACTGAGCAGGGTGTGATGAAAAGGTTGGGAAAAGATACCACATATACTGAAGGCGGTGAGGACATAAACAAGGAGTTTCAGCTACCAATCGAAGAGATGAACAGTGATTGGGAAGAAGATATAGACTTCAGAGGGGATTCTCATTTTTCAGCGAACAAAGAAGTGACACCGCCAAATCCAGTTAACCCCAAGATAGAGATTCTATCTGAAGTAACAATCGCTACTCTAGAATATAAAGACTCTGAGGTAATGGATAGCCTAGCGGAGCATGAGATTATGGTGCCTTGAGCTAGCATATTGCAGAAGGTGAAAGGAACATCAGCAGG